GCGTCGGCTGGGGAGGTGCCCTCGGCCGTCCCTTGGATCACCAGCAAGATGCTGGCAGAGTCCACGGCGGAGACAAGGTACAGCTTGATGGAGGCGGGGATCTGCAATGGGAAAGGGTCGCCGTCGCCTGAGCCTCCTCCAGCTTTTCTTCTCTCGGGAGAGCTGGAAAGGGGGGGGTCATCCCCGTTCCCACCCTGCTGCAGCCTTTGCTGTGCCCAGGCCACCCCGTGCCTCCGGCTGCCCAAAACTCAGGGACCTCGGCTTCGCCGGGGACACCCAAGCTGCACCTCCAAGACCTTCTCCTGGTCCTCCCTCTGCCTAGAGCTGCTGGAGAAGGCGACCGAGCCTTAGGCAGGGAGAACAGAGGAGGGAGAGGAGCCTGCAGTGCTGTCCAGAGGTGACAAAAGCATCCCCAAGCATCCCTCCATCCTCGCTGGACCACCAGCTCCAAGGGTGAGCAAACCCCTGGCCAAAAAAACCCCCAGCCAACACCGAGACGTCCTACCAAGAGCACAGCCAAGCCGGGGAGAAAGCTGGTGTTCGTGTCCCCTCCACCGCGTCCCCGAAGCGTCACCGCTCACCTCTATCCTCATGATGGCGAAGTCTGGCACGGGCGGGTCGTAGAGGTAGACGCTGGGGTCGAGCTGGCTCTGGGTGGGCGGGAAGATCTTGGAGCTGCTGGGCGCCGGCGTGTAGTTGAGCATCTCGCACAAAGTGAGGACGTCGATGAATTTGGGGGTGAGCCCGGCGCGCACCGTGTTATCCGAACACGCCATGCACTCCACGCAGTCTGCGGGGGGAGGAGGCAGCTCCCTCAGCCCACCTCAGCCCACCCGCACATCCCCGGGGGTCCCTGGGGACAGTCCCTGCGTGGTCCTGGGCGAGGAAAGCCCACCCTGATGGCTCACCTCCGTGTAGGTAGGCGTGGGGCTCGTTGGCTCCCAGGAACATGGCCTCCCCCGGCTCCAGCCTCACCAGGTTGAGGAAATAAATGGTGAAGCAGCCGATGTCCCCCGGGTACTGGGAGTGCAGGCGCAGCAGCAGGTCCCCGTTGCTCCCCGACGTGGCCCTCCCC